ACTTATATATATATATATATAATTATTTTATTAGAAGAGTTCACCTTAAATTTTTAGTACTTTGAACAAAGTGAAAAATGATATTTTATAATTATTTAAATACTACTTATGCTGACCATAGTTTCCAAACTTAAAAATGTAAAACACAAACAATTAAATACGTAATTACTAAAAATAACTATAAGTATAGTAAATTTGTGTGAGACTGTAAGTTTTCCTTATATACTATTACATATAAAAATAAAAATAGATTAATAATTGTAACAAATCACAAAGAAAATGGTTACAGAGAAGTAGAAGTTCACAATTTAATTTTTAAATTTTAGTATATAAGATAAGTCACAATTTAAAAAATATTTTTTTAAGGAAAATTAGATATAAAAAAGAGCAAGTTAAAAACAACCTTTATTTATGATTTTATATTAACATTTAGTAAACATTAAGAAAAAAAAATGTCAATAATATATCATACTTTCCTCTTATTTATGATTTTACATTAACATCATTATTGATAATTGTTCATAATTAATTTATTTTTTAATACATTTTTATATGTTTTAATTATATAATTATTTAATATTTATAGACTAAATAACTAGTTTTTTTAGTGTTCCTCTAATAATAATTTTTTGACTATTATCCCACTAACTTATATTTATGATCATTATTTTTTGTTAGTGGGTGTGAGTTTATCACTAACTCAACTTATAAAATTAATTTCTTATGTAAAAATTATTTTTATTCATATCCACTTATATGACTATTTTAAAGGTCAACGTGGAATCTACCAATTAAATTATATCCGGCACACAATTATAGTATATTATTATAAGACTACTTCTAGTTGGAAATCTCACTTTCCAAAAAAAAAAAAAAAAAAGTGAAACCACATTCACTCATTTATGTAGTACTATACTATCATTCTCTTGTCTAGTTGAACTTTCAACTACTCAACACCATTATCGCATTCCTTATTCCCTTCGGCGAGAGAGCAACAGAGATACAAAATCTTGCACAAATGGGAGAAAAAGAGGAAGGGAAAACAACTATGAAGACATTGGAGAAAGAAAGCATGGAGAACAATGAGGAACATGTGACTGAGAGTGATCACAAGATTAACTACAGAGGATGGAAGGCCATGCCTTTCATCATAGGTAATGAATGAGAAGCATCTTACAAGCTCCCTCTCTCTCTTTTTCTATGTGTGTTTTTAGTCTTATCTTTTGATTGACTTGTTTGTGTAATTGGCACAGGAAATGAAACTTTTGAAAAATTGGGTGCCATTGGCACCTTAGCCAACCTTTTAGTCTATCTCACCACAGTGTTCAACCTCAAGAACATCACAGCCACCAATATAATCAACATCTTCAGCGGCAGCACCAACTTTGCTACCTTGATAGGTGCCTTCTTATCGGACACCTACTTTGGTCGCTACAAGACATTAGGATTCTGTACCTGCACTTCCTTTTTGGTACTATTTTAAGGCTCATGCCATGCCATAACTCCATTCCTCACTCAAATTCATTCACTTTCATGACCAAATGTCTAAGATTATTTTATGTAACAAATGACATGATTTACAAAAAAGGTTTATACATCTACATCAATTACTTGATGAAAAATATGATTGTAATTCAATAGACATCATTCAGCTAGTCACATGAACATGAATAAGCCTTGTAATTTTTTCCCTACGTCCAAACAGGGATTGATAGTGATACAACTTACAGCAGTATTTAAGAATCTGCATCCACCTCACTGTGGAAAGGAGAGCAAAACATGCAAAGGGCCAACTACAGGGCAAATGGCTTTTTTGGTGTCTGGATTCGGATTGTTGTTGGTGGGTGCTGCAGGGGTTAGACCATGTAATTTGGCATTTGGAGCTGATCAGTTCGATCCAAATACAGATTCAGGGAAAAAGGGGATCAATAGTTTCTTCAATTGGTACTTTTTTACCTTCACTTTTGCTCAGATGGTCTCTTTAACGCTAATTGTCTATGTACAGTCAAACGTGAGCTGGGCAATAGGGTTGGGAATACCAGCTGCTTTGATGCTCATATCTTGTATAGTGTATTTCATGGGGGCCAAAATCTATGTTAAAGTTAAACCAAGTGGTAGTCCTATAACTAGTATTGTGCAAGCTTTAGTGGTTGCAATCAAAAAGAGGAATCTAAAACTACCTGCAGAACCTCCAATGCTTTTCAACTATGTGCCTCCCAAAAGTGCTAATTCTAAGCTACCTTACACGTATCAGTTCAGGTAACTACATCAAGCTTTTAACTTTTTGCTTCAATAATTTGTTATGGATAACTGGTTTCTCAAAAGTAGTAAGGACTATTTGGTTTGGAGACACTCTGTTTTCATAAAAAGTAAGTAGTGATATAATAGGAAGAGAGAAATAATAGGAGGTAATGAGGTATTTAAAGTAATAAAATAGTCACATATGTCACTACCCACTTTTTATATCAAACATGTTCTAAGCTTCTAACTGAAATGAGTATTATTACATGAATAGGATATTGGATAAAGCAGCCATTGTGACCCCACAAGACAAAATAAACCAAGATGGATCTGCAGCTGATCCATGGAATCTTTCCAGCATACAGCAAGTGGAGGAGGTGAAATGTGTGGTGAGAGTGTTGCCTATATGGTTTTCAGCCATTTTGTATCATCTAGTCATTGTCCAAATGCACACTCTCCTAGTGTTTCAAGCCCTTCAATCTGATAGGCGTTTTGGACATAGCAACTTCAAGATCCCTGGTGCATCCTACAATGTCTTCTTAATGTTGAGCATGACCTTGTGGCTACCAATTTATGATAGAATAGTAGTCCCTTTTCTGCGTAGAGTCACAGGTAAAGAGGGTGGCATCACACTCCTTCAGAGGATGGGAATTGGCATTTTTCTCTCAGCGCTAAGCATGCTAGTAGCTGCTGTAGTTGAAGAGCATAGAAGAAGTTTGGCTCTAACCAAACCTATAGGAATGCAACCAAGAAAAGGTGCTATTTCATCAATGTCAGGACTATGGTTAATTCCTCAGTTAGCTCTAGCTGGTCTATCTGAAACATTTACTGCGGTTGGACAAGTTGAATTGTACTATAAGGAATTCCCTGAGAATATGAGAAGCATTGCAGGCTCACTTTTCTACTGTGGCATGGCGGGGTCTAGTTATTTGAGTACTTTTCTGATTTCAATTGTTCATAGAATCACCGCCAAATCTGCAATGGGGAATTGGTTGCCAGAAGATCTTAACAAGGGGAGATTGGATTTCTTTTATTACATGATTGCTGCTCTAGAAATCATGAATTTGGGGTACTTTCTAATGTGTTCAAGGTGGTACAAGTATAAAGAAACTAGCAGCAGTAACCTTGAACTTAACCAAATGCCCAAACAATCTGAAACATCCACTATTAGTGTGTAACGCTATGTAATATATGAAATTGTTATAATAATAGTTATAGGTAGAATTTAAAGTAATTTATTTTCAGCCTTAACGAAAAAATATATGTTGTTACTCTTTATATTCATCTTCATACTTTATCTTATTCACCTTTCACTTTATATTGCTTAATTCTCATTTCACACTACCACCTTCATCTATACAATATACTACTTTTTTTTTTTCTTTTACATTTCTATTTTTTATTATATCTCTTTTTTATCTTTTATATTATATTTTTCTATACATTATATTCAATTCACCTTTCACTTTTCTATTGTATAATTCTAATTCTATTACATTTATCAACAAAATTAAAGTTACTATTTTGTCAATTTGTATACAATTCTATTTACTATTACCTCTCTTTTTCATTTTTTATATCTTTATATTATACTTTATCTAATCCACCTTTCACTCTATAATTTAATTTTCATTTCATATAGCAAATTTCATAAAATATATATATATATATATATATAAGATATTATTTTTTCTTTTTTTTTCATACATTTACGTGAGACGAAGAATAATAAATTATATAATATTAACTACTATAAAATATTACAAATTATACAAATATTAAATATCTTTATTTATGTTTTAGTTTATTTATTCACACATTAATAAAGAACATAAAAGTACTAAAAGATAAGTTTTTAAAATGCAAATACTAAGACAAATAATAATAGTTTAGGATACTTAAGAATATAATATTTATACATGCATTTTAATTTTCTGATTTATATAAATTACTTCAATTTTCTACCACTAATATAATTAAATAAAAATATATTTAAAACTAACACATTATATTTTTTAATTTAAATAATTTACTTTTTTATCTGTGCATCTCGCACGGATCTATATGTACTATGTAGTTATTAATAAAAGTTAATGATATGATGAACAATATACATATTTACATGATCAACAAAAAGGCCCGACTTATTCTCAATGATAGGAAAATAAATAAAAAAATTTATGTCTTTTTTTTTTTTTCTCTCTTCTTGCTCAAGCATAAGACACATAATCAGTCTTTTTGCAGAATACCTACTTCACTATGCAAAATCATGTACCTGAATTCAAACACAATTTTTAATATTAATTTTCAAAAATAACAGTTTTCCAAACATTTTCTTTTCTAATATGACATATACTGTGAGTACATATAATAAGTTTTCAAACTATAAAGATAACGATGTGAGTTAATACCATATGTGGGTTTTTTTATTAGAGATTTTTGTGCCTACTTTTTACAAAATATTTATTATGAATAAATGTGTTGAGTTTTTTTTATAATGTTATCAATGACAAATTAATAAATGAATCAAATTTATTAAATGAAAATATAATAATGAACAGAATTAATTATTTAGACACATTCAATTTTAAGAATATTATATTGATAAATAACTGATATGATATATTATTATAATTAAATACTTATTAAGTTTCTAAATACATGTCAAATTTAAAATACTTAAATTTTTAAAAAAAAATTACAGATAATATTATGTAAAAAATCTGTAGCAAGTTAGCATTAACCGTATATTTGTTAGGTGGGAAATGACAAAGAAATGGGTGAGGAAGAAGAAATAGGTGGCAAATGACAAAGAAATGGGTGAGGAAGAAGAAATAGGTGAGAAATATAAATATGAGATTGTTTGATAGGTGAGAAATGGGGAATAAGAAAAATAAAAAGGTATGAAATTTATATAATTCAAGATATAATGATTACTTAAAATGAGTTTTACTTTTCTTAATACAGTTTTTTTTTTTCATTTACATTGTCATCAATTGAACTCCTGAACTGTTTAAGGGGTTTAGTTATCTACCAATTGAGTTAAACTTTGTTAATTTTTTTTCCTTGCTTATATTATCTTTATTATCTTTATTATACTATGTGTTCCTGCGTAAGAACACTCTTCTCCTTGATCCTTCCTAGTTGCCTTTAAGTCCTTCTGAATCTTTCGTATTGACCGAACACTAGCTCCACGTGGTGGGGGAGGGTACCTGCATAGGCACTCCGACGATCAAGTCAGTGTTCGGTTCAGAGCAATAAATGCATTAGCGGGAATAGTAACGTACCTCATTTATGTCACACCACCTGTATATTTATAATGACATATGTGGGCCTGATGGGCCTTCATCCTTGGGAAATGGGTAATACATGACTTAACCTTAATCCTGTCTTAATCTGGTATGGTAATTAATGCTAAGTAGGCAGTTGGCTTGCCACGTGTTTATCATAGGCTCTTTCTTCAGGTTCTCGGCCAAGCTTGGGGCCGAAGGGGTGTCTTGAATAGCTTCAGATCCCTTCTCTTTGGGTTTTTGGCTACTCACGAGACCGAGGGAGTGTTCGGCCAAGCTTGGGGCCGAAGGGGTGTTCGGCCAAGCTTGGGGCCGAAGGGGTGTTGTGTTTCATCGGCTAGGGCATTCCTTTCGGTCTATTTCCTGACCTGAGGGGGCAGTTGGTGTGGCTCCTTGGTTTGGGCCCCCCTTTCGGCCTATTGTCCGACCGAAGGGGTGCCAATTGATGCGTTCCATTAGTTTGGGCGCCCCTTTCGGCCTATTGCATGACCGAAAGGGTGCTTACTAGTACACTATGTTTTCAAAAATAAAAAAAAAAGTTGATATGGTTAAGGTTACTATAATAAAAAAAGATTAGGTCAATAAAATTTAAATCCAAGTCATCAAGATTCAAAATTTAAAAGTTCTCACAATCTGATAATAAAGATAACTTTATATAAATCAAGTATAATTTAAGTGAGACAATCTTACTCAATTGAGTCAAATAAAACTATTATGTGAAAAATAAAGTTCTTTATTTGAGTGTTTATTAATTTAATTAAATGCACATGATTTAAACTTGAACTATTTATTAAGTTAATATAATCATATAATAATAAGTAGGTTAAATCATATTTTTAGTCATTTATCTTATTTTTAAGATTCATTTTAATCTTTTATCTTTTAAAATATTTATTTAGTCTTTTATTTTCTAAATTTAGATCGATTTAATCTTTTTGAAATAATTATATTTTTAATTTTAACACACAATTTTAAATCATTTTTTTGACTAATTCAAGATTTGAAACTTGCTTCATTAAATTCATATATATGAAAATGGTTGAACGGAACTAAAATTCAAATAAAAAGATTTCATAAACATGATGAAAGTCAGATAAACATAAATCTAAAAAATAATTAAATTTAAAAAAAAAACTAATTTTATATTATTTTTAAATTTTTCATGTGATATATTTTTCACCTAATTTTTATTATGATTATAACATTTTTTAATTCAAACGACAATTAAATTTCATAATTTTTATATAGTTAAATATAATATTATAAATTTCACGTCTTGAATCAATTAAAAAATAATTTAAAATCGTATTACAAAATTAAAAATAATTAACTAAATTAATTTAAATATAAAAGAAAAAAAAACTAAAATAAATATTTTAATAAATAAA